AAAAAGTATCATATTCACAGTTTTGTTTGCCTCCACAAAATACCACAATAAATATCGTATCGTGAGATGTATATCATGAAAATATTGTACTAAGAGATTTAGATATTGTTACATCTCTAATCGTTAGCCTCTCCACCCCCATGATATCGCAATAAATATTGTACCGTGAAGACAATATCGTATTGTGACACTTGGATATCGTTACACCCCTAATGTTTATAATTATGTCTTCACTCAATCTGCCTTGTTTTTCACACATTATTTTACTTCCAGTGACCCAGCTTTGTGTAAGAGGCTGTTGTGTCTCAGAATACTGCCATGAGGCTCTTTTGTCAGGGACAGTTAGTACAAAAGTACTTGTAATACAGTACTTATACAGCACTTATATGTAGTAGTTATAGTAATTCAGAATTAAAAACAAAAAAACAACAACGACAACAAAAAAAAACATCAGATAACCATGGCCACTGACTGGTTAAAGCTGGACGGATAATTATATCTAAAGAATTTCTATGGATATTGATGTGGTCCGTTTCCATAGATACGGTACCTGATTGTACATAGTAATGGAAACATATTTATACTCAACTACCCTTAGTTAAACTGCACATACATCGGTAGAAAATTTGTTGTTTTAAAGGCATTTCTAACTTCTTAAATATTGTTCGTTCATATCGAGAGTTATGAATGTATTTCGCAAAACTTTGACGAAAAAAAGCATAATTTTAGTGGCCACTCCATTGGTACTGCAGTTCCTGGAAGTTTAGGCCCAGAAAGAATTTTAGTTATTGTTTTCCAGCCTATTCAAACTGCTTTACCTTTCAGTATCCCAGCAGATGGACTCCCTGCACCCTCTACTGTCATTGTTTGTATTTTAAAACCAAGTCTGCTTTTACTTACTTGAACGCTTGCTTCAAATGACATCTTTGTTAGTAAGAGAAGTCCCTTGTCGGTCTTGAATCCCGCTAGCAGTAGTGCGGCGAATACAGACGCGCGCCAAATCGATTAGCGAGCGCGGCGGTAGCGGAGTCTTGATAACTAAATCAGGCTAGTTTTAGTCCCATCTCTCCGCACAGCTGGTCCAGCCTCCCGCAGATGTCTGGTGCATCGTGGGTAATCGCGGGAAAGCACACGCGGAGCCGACAAAGGAGCTAAGCGAACCCTGCAGTTAGCTGTGACAGAGCTAGCTTCATCTGTGAAAGTATTACAGTGTTTGTTCCAAGGTATTACTTCAGGATTTAGTGTTATTTTTGTAAGTGCAATTCTGTTTACAACTTGACAATCTTTTATTTAACCAGAACTACTATCACTAATAATAATAAATTGTTGATTAAAAAAGAAAGAAAAAACCTGCATCCCATGATCTTCAGTGTTATCAAAATATTGGTGTAATGAGCACAGTGTTTTTAAATTAAATTACATAAAATCAAGTAAAATTTAATATAATTTTTATTTAAACTTGTATTTATTTGTATTTTAATTTGTATTACTTTTTAAAATTGATTTTTATTTTTATTTATTTAAAATTTTTATTTCAGATAATTTTATTTGTATTTATTATGTATTATTCATTTTTTTTATTTAAACATTTTAATTCAATTTAATTTATTTTGTTATTTATTTATTTTAATTTATTTGGTATTTTATTTTATATTTATTATTTATTTATATATTGTTTATTTTTATAATTTTTATGTATTGTTTATTTTTTATAAATTTTTATTTTAATTTCAATTTATTTTATTTGTATTTATTTATGTATTTTTTTATTATTTTATGTGCGAAAATCTTGCATGCATTTACATAGGGACAGTACAGTTCATTCCCACTTTTTTATTTATTTATTATAATTTATTTGTATCCTTACTACTAATATGTAATATTACTCTAAAATGCTGAATTCTTATCAAATTGTCCTGAATATTTGGGTGCAGTTCTTGATAGCCTCAGCCCCACACCTCTCCACACGATCTGTCCATCTGTACCTCTCTTCCTCTGGCTCCTCACAGACTCTGACAGGGGGGACCTAATTAGTTAATTTGTTTCCCTGGCACTTATTTGACGGACGCACGCCGGGTGGGAATGTGGCGCGTTAAGGAGACGGGAGGGTTCAAAACAAACACGGCCGACACGTCAGCACACGTGTCAACAGACGAACAACACCACACCGTCAACACCACACGAACAACACCACACGATCAACTCCAGACCATCAACACCACACGAACAACACCACACGATCAACTCCAGACCATCAACACCACACAAACAACACCACACGATCAACACCACACGATCAACACCACACGATCAACACCACACGATCAACACCAGACCATCAACACCACACGAACAACACCACACGAACAACACCAGACCATCAACACCACACGAACAACACCAGACCATCAACTCCAGACCATCAACTCCAGACCGTCAACTCAAGACCGTCAACACCAGACCATCAACTCCAGACCATCAACACCACACGAACAACACCAGACCATCAACACCAGACCATCAACACCAGACCATCAACACCACACGATCAACTCCAGACCATCAACACCACACGATCAACTCCAGACCATCAACACCACACGAACAACACCACACGATCAACTCCAGACCATCAACACCACACGAACAACACCACACGATCAACTCCAGACCATCAACACCACACAAACAACACCACACGATCAACACCACACGATCAACACACACGATCAAACACCACACCATCAACACCAAGACATCAACACCAGACCGAACAACACCACACGAACAACACCAGACCATCAACACCACACGAACAACACCAGACCATCAACTCCAGACCATCAACTCCAGACCGTCAACTCCAGACCGTCAACACCAGACCATCAACTCCAGACCATCAACACCAGACCATCAACACCAGACCATCAACACCAGACCATCAACACCAGACCATCAACACCAGACCATCAACACCATACGGTCAACTCCAGACCGTCAACTCCAGACCGTCAACTCCAGACCGTCAACTCCAGACCGTCAACTCCAGACAGTCAACTCCAGACCGTCAACTCCAGACCGTCAACTCCAGACCGTCAACACCAGACCGTCAACACCACACGATCAACACCACACGATCAACAGCAGACCATCAACACCACACGATCAACACCAGACCATCAACACCACACCATCTACTCCAGACCATCAACACCACACCATCTACTCCAGACCATCAACACCACACCATCATCTCCAGACCATCAACACCACACCATCAACTCCAGACCATCAACACCACACCATCAACACCAGACCATCAACACCACATGATCAACACCAGATGATCAACGCCAGCCGATCAACACCACACCATCAACTCCAGACCATCAACACCAGACCATCAACACCAGACCATCAACACCACACCATCAACACCACACGATCAACACCAGACCATCAACACCAGACCATCAACACCAGACCATCAACACCAGACCATCAACACCAGACCATCAACACCAGCCCGGGAAGGTAATTGGACAATGTTTAGATGAGAAAGTAAAACAAAAGAAGGCTAAAATGGATAAAACACCCAACCTTTGTATACAACCACAGTCAAAATAAGGACTAAAGGGGAGAGTGAGCAGGAGGACTAAATGGTAGAGTGAGGGAGAGGGGTCTGTAGGACTAAAGGGGGTTGTGAGGAAGAGAGAAGCTTGAGGACTAAAGGAGGAGAGCGAGGTGGGGATAGGTCTGGAGGACTAAAGGGGAGAGTGAGGGGGAGAGAAATTTGAGGACTAAAGAGGAGTGCGAGGGGGACAAAGGTTTAAGGATTAAAGGAGTGAAAATAAGGAAGTGAGAGGTTTGAGGACTAAAGGGGAGTGCGAGGGGGCAGAGGTTTGAGGACTAAAGGGTGAGAGTGAGAGGGAGAGAGGTTTGAAGACTAAAGGGGAGTGCGAGGGGGACAGAGGTTTAAAGACTAAAGGGGAGAGTGAGGTGGGGAGGGTATGAAGGAGTAAAGGGGGGAGTGAGGTGGATAGAAGTTTGTGGACTAAAGGGGAAAGTGAAGGGTAGTGGTAATTGGACAATGTTTAGATGAGAAAGTTAAAAATAAAATAAATTAAAAACGACAAAACACCTAAACTTTGCACGTAACCACAGTCAAAATATGGGCTGAAGTGGAGAGTGAGCAGGAGGACTAAAGGGGAGAGAGAGGAGGAGGAGGGATAATTGGACAATGTTTTAGCTGAAGAAAGTAAATAAAAAATAAAGGGGACTAGACACCTAAACTTTTCACACAACCACAATCAAAACAAGGGCTAAAGAGGAGAGTGTGGGGGCGGTGTCTGGAGGCCTAAAGGGAAGCATGAGGAGGGAGTAAGGGCGGTTCTGAAGGAGTAAAGGGGAGAGTATGTGTGTGTGAGGGTGAGGAGGTATCTGGAGGACTAAAGGGAAAGTTAGGGGGGTGAGGGCAGGGTCTGGATGACTAAAAAGGAGAGGGGTGAGGTCTAAAGGGGAGGTGGGGATTTCTAAATTTGTCAAAGTTTTAGCCCACTCTGACAATCTTTTCTCGCACTCAAATTTTTATTAACGGTATTACCTGGCATACCAGAACCAGACGCTTTCACAAAACTTTACAAAGACGAGAGGATCTGGAACTGTACCATATCTCCTCAATTTTAGGACATGATTGACAGGCGGATTAACCAATCAGAGAGACGCGTGCTCTGGTCATGTCAAAGCGAACATTGCAGGTTAAGAGTAAAAAAAGGTAAATAAAAATACAACAAATAGGATTGAGAAAGAGCATGGACTTTCACGGAATCAACAATCAAAGCACCAAAGTTTTGTTTATCTCAGGTAAAAGAAGGTGTATATTTAGTTCTGAATGTTACAAGCATTTTGGAGAAGAGATGTGGTTGGTCTTTCCCAAGTTTGGACAAATAGTAGTAGTAGTAGTAGTAGTAACAGTAGTGATAGTCAAGTTTTTTCCTTACCTTTGCGATCTGCACACACCAGTTGAGCAGCAGCTGGGAGCCGATGTGGTCCTTGTGTTCGTGCACGTAGTCCAGCAGACAGCCGTGGGGCATGAGCTGAGTCACCAGCTGGATGGTAGGACTCAGACACACCCCTAGGAGGCGCACCAGGTGAGGGTGCTCCACGCTCGCCATGATCAGGGCCTCCTGGGCGAACGGAAAATCAACTTAGAAATGTGTAGAGGGGAGAGGGCAAACTTTTCAAACTGATTCTGCTTCATAAAATAAGACATGAGGTTAAAGCGTCTGTCTTACATTTCTATGGGGTATTCACTGTGAAAACATTTGATGCTCTGAGTCTTCCATCCCTTTGCTCCCTGTGTTAAGTCACTACCCCTTCAGAGCACCATCAAAACACAGTCAGTGTGCATCGCGATAATGAAAATACTGTACTAGTTTATTGCATCAGCTTTGTGAAGTTGTAGTGTTGTTTTGTATCCTGTTTTTGAATATTTATGGACCATTGTCGTGTGAAACAGGCTTGTGGGTGGAGCCTTGTACAGCATCTTACATCTTAGCATAAGGAGGGTTTGAATTGAGACTGGGAGGGTTACACCTGCATTTGACCCATCTTTCAGTCTCTCTACTTTAAACCTGCATTTACCCATCCTTCAGTCTGTCTAGTTTAAACCTGCATTTGACCCATCTTTCAGTCTCTCTAGTTTAAACCTGCATTTGACCCATCCTTCAGTGCCTCTGGGTTAAACCTATATTTGAACCATCCTTCACTGTCCTTAATTTAAACCTGCATTTGACCCACCCTTTAGTGTCTCTGGTTTAAACCTGCATTTGTCCCATCCTTGAGTGCCTCCGGGTTACAATTGCATTTGTCCCATTCTTCAGTGTCTCTGGGTTACACCTGCATTTGACCCATTCTTCAGTGTCTCTGGGTTACACCTGCATTTGTCCCATCCTTCAGTGTCTCTGGGTTACACCTGCATTTGTCCCATCCTTCAGTGTCTCTGGGTTACAACTGCATTTGACCCATCCTTCAGTGTCTCTGGGTTACACCTGCATTTGTCCCATCCTTCAGTGTCTCTGGGTTACAACTGCATTTGACCCATCCTTCAGTGTCTCTGGGTTACACCTGCATTTGTCCCATCCTTCAGTCTCTCTGGTTTAAACCTGCATTCGAGCCATTATTCAGTACGTCTGGGTTAAACCTGCATTTGACTCATCCTTCAGTGTCTCTGGGTCAGTCCTGCATGTGACCCACCCTTTAGTATCTCTGGTTTAAACCTGCTTTTGACAAATCTTTCAGTGTCTCTCAGTTACTGCATTTGACCCATCCTTCATTGGCTCTGGCTTACACCTGCATTTAACCCATCTTTCAGTCTCTCTAGTTTAAACCTGCAGTTGAACCATCTTTCAGTCTATCTGGTTTAAACCTGCATTTGACCCACCCTTTAATGTCTCTGATTTAAACCTGCATTTGACTCATTCTTTGGTGTCTCTAGGTTATAACTGCATTTGACCCATCCTTCTGTGACTCTGGGTTACAACTGCATTTGACCCATCCTTCAGTGTCTCTAGATTAAACCTGCATTTGTCCCAACCTTCAGTGCCTCTGGATTACACCTGTATTTGAGCCATTATTCAGTGTCTTTGGGTTAAACCTGAATTTGACCCATTCTTTACTCCTTTTGTTCAGTCACTCCCCCTTCAGAGCACCATAACAACACAATCAACGTGCATCCCAATAATTAAACTACTGTTCTAGTTTATTGCATCAGGTTTGTGAAGTTGTAGTGTATTGATTTGTGTCCTGTTTTTGAATATTTATGGACAGTTGTCATGTGAAACAGACTTGTGGGCGGAGCCTTGTACAGAATCTTAAAGCTAATGTTAAGAAGGGTTCGAAAAGGGTCCGGAAGAGCAAGATGACACATGCATGGACGACCTCTAAAACCTCTTCAGACATTGATAACATGGTCGTCAATTTTGCATAATACCCAGTTTTTAAGTCGACGTAGATCAATATTAAAATTTAAGGGGTGACCCGTACGTCCATAATGGGAGAAAAATGCAGTTTAAGAAAAGGAAATTGAAGTTACAATGTCCCTTATAGCTCTATAGATACAAGTTGATTAAAGCTTATATACCGAGAGAACAAAATGCCAAAAAAAAAAAAAAGAAAGAAATTTGACGGAATAAGACTACACCTAATCCATGTGGTTAACTCCATTGCCGGCCTTATTTGCTTGTATTTGTGCTGGGTCGAGCTGGCGGTGTAAATGAGGACTTTTGGGAGGTAGATTAGCGCAGCGTGCTTCAGTGTGCCCATAGAGGCTTCAGTCTGCTCGCTGCTTCTTCACACACAAGTGAGTTTTTCATCCATCTTTTATAATGTTAGCAAAGCACAGACTGGAGCAGATATAATGATGGCTAGTTTCTTTATCTTCGCTCCATCCAAGTCCATTTGATGTCTGTATCCAAACATGCTCCAGAAACTGAGCTTTCACTTTAGCCTTTATTGCCCCCGTCAGGAAATGTGTCCTCTGCATTTGACCCATTCTTCTGTGTCTCTGAGGTAAACCTTCATTTGACTTATTCTTCAACATCTCTGGTTTGAACCTACATTTAATGAATCATTCAGCGTCTTTGGGTTAAACCTGCATTTGACTCATCCTCCAGTGTCTTTGGGTTAAACTTACATTTGGCCCATCCTTCTGTTTCTCTGGGGCTGAACCTGCATTTGACCCATTCTTCAGTGTCTCTGGGGTTGAACCTGCATTTGATCCATCCTTCAGTGTTTCTGAGTAAAGCCTGCATTTGATCCATCCTTCAGTGTTTCTGAGTAAAGCCTGCATTTGATCCATCCTTCAGTGTTTCTGAGTAAAGCCTGCATTTGATCCATCCTTCAGTGTTTCTGAGTAAAGCCTGCATTTGACCCATCCTTCAGTGTTTCTGAGAAAAGCCTGCATTTGACCCGTCCTTCAGTGTTTCTGATTAAAGCCTGCATTTGACCCATCCTTCAGTGTTTCTGAGAAAAGCCTGCATTTGACCCGTCCTTCAGTGTTTCTGATTAAAGCCTGCATTTGACCCATGTATCAGCATCTTTGGGTTAAACCTGCATTTTACCCGTCTTTCAGTATCTCTGGGGTTGAACCTGCATTGGACCCATCTTTCAGTGTCTCTGGGGTTGAGCTTGCATTTGACCCAGCCTTAAGTGTCTCTAGGTTAAACCTGCATTTGATCCATCCCCTTAATTGTCTCTGGGTCAAGTCTGCATTTGACTCAACCTTCAGTGGCTCTGGGTGAAACCTGCATTTGACCCATCCTTTAGCGTGTCTAGGTTAAACCTGCATTTGATCCATCCCCTTCAGTGTCCCTGGGTCAAACCTGTATTTGACCCATCCTTCAGTGTCTTTGGGTTAAACCTGCATTTGACCCATAATTACGTATCTCTGGGTTAAACCTGCATTTTACCCATCTTTCAGTGTGTCTGGGTTAAACCTGCATAAGACCCATCCTTCAGTGTTTCTCATCTAAACCTACATTTAACACAGCCTTAAGTGCCCTTGGGTTAAACCTGCATTTGACCCAGTCTTCAGTGTGTCTGGGTTAAACCTGACAGAAACAGTGGGACCATCTCCAGATCTTCTAGGTCTAGTCTTGGTCAGGCCTTTTCTTAGCTGGAGGATTTGACCTATTGTGCATGTTTTGGTTTAATGGAAGAAACTCACCCAAACACAGGCAGAACATGGAAACTTACGCTTGGGCGATGTGGGAATTGAACCCAGAACCTTCTTGCTGTGAGGCGAGAGTCTTAGCCACCCAGTCGCCATGTCCCCAAAACTAAATCATCATCATTATACGCCGATTATAATACCTTCCTACCTGACGTACTTTTTTATTTTTTTCTGTCTTTTTTACAAGTGTGTGCATTATGTGACTATGATCATTACTGGACATTCCACCACAGACATACATGTAGTGCACCCCCAGAATATCAATAGGTGGCTATGGGTTCTTCTCTATGGCATATTTGCGTTATTATCATTTGTGACATTTGGTTGGACTGGATATTGGCCGGTTCTTGATGAAGTCTTGTGGGGCGAGCGTGACGACGCATCCGCACCGAAGCCACTGGAAAACCTCTCCACTCCTCTCTCCTCTGCCTCTTCTCCTCTCTCTCTCTCTTCTCATCTCCCTCTTTCCTTCTCTGTCTCCTTCCCTCCCTCTTCTCGCTCTCTCGTAGGACGCTCAGAGACACTTCAGCACCATGGACAGCGCCCGAAATCAACTAGTACAACCTTTCCACTCATCCGCCTCTCTCTCTCTATCTCTCCTCCCTCTCTCCTCTCTCTCGTAGGACGCTCAGAGACACTTCAGCACCAAGGACAGTTCCCAAAATCAAATAGTACAACCTTTCCGCTGCTCTGCCTCTCCTGCTCTCTCTCTGTTTGTCGTTCTTGTTCTCTCTCTGTCACTTTTCCCTCCCTCTCTCGTCTCTCTCATGAGACACTCAGAGACACTTCAGAACCATGGACAGCACCCAAAATCAAACCGCACCTTTCCGTTCTACTGCGTTTTGTGCTCTCTTTCTCTTTCTCCGTCTCAGTCTCTCTCTATTTTTCTTTCTCCATCTCCTCATTCTCTCTCGTAGGACACTCAGAGACACTTCAGGACCAAGGCCAGTTACCAAATACTTAAATGTACAACCTTTCCGCTGCTCTACCTCTTCTACTCTATCTTTCTCTCTGTCCTTCTTTCTCTCTGTCTCATAGGACACTCAGAGACACTTCAGCACCATGGACAGCGCCCAAAATCAAATAGAATCTTTCTCTTCCTTTAACTCTTTTACTCGCTCTCTGTCTTTGTCTGTCTCAGTCCCTCTCCCGGTCTCTCTATTTTTCTTTCTCTCTGTGACTTTTCCCTCCCTCTTATCTCTCTCTCATAGGACACTCAGAGACACTTCAGCACCATGGACAGCGCCCAAAATCAAATAGTAGCTTTCTGTTCCTCTGCCTCTTGAACTCTCTCTGTCTGTCTCAGTCTCTCCTCCCTGTCTGTTTTTCTTTCTCTCTCTCTTTCTCAGTTTCTCTCCCTGTCTCTGTTTCGCTCTCTCTTTCTCTGTCTTGCTCCCTGTTTTTCTTTCTTTCTCTCTCACTCCCCCCTCGTCTCAATCTCTCCCTATCTCTGTT